CCCAACATGCAGTCTTTTTAAGATGAAAAACCATAGGACTGAGTTCAGGGCAACCACAGCCACTTGGAAAGTGAGAGGAGAATCCCAGAAAAGAGAGACTCAAAGAGGAGGTAACCCAAATTCTGTGAATAAATTCTGCCCAAATATCTGACTGACCCCTGAACCATGCATATTTGGCACAGACTCCTAACGCTTCAACTAAAGACGAGAACTGAGCTTTGATTTGTGCTACTGCCCCACAGACTTAGTTTGAAGTTTGAGCTCAACCATGCTAATTACTTGATAAAACAAAAATATTAATGCTCTTCAGAGAAATAGAATCCAAACTCTCCACAACTTATCGTTCATGATATATAGGATATAAGAAAAACTTACTTGACAGTCAAAGAATTGAGAAATTGCAACCCCATTTCAAGAAAAGAGACAACCAGCCCAGAAGTTGGAATGAACATATGAGGATATTAATATAATTATTATAATGGTGCTTAATGAAATAAAGATATATATGCTCACAGTGAATAAAGATTTTTTTAAAAACTAAGCAAAGAAATAGAAACTATGAAGAAAAACAAAAAGAAAATTCTAGAACTTAAAAATACAATGTCTTAAATTTAAATTTCACTGGGTAAGTTTACCAGCAGAATGAAAATGACAGAGGAAGGGGTGATTGAACTTGAAATAGCTCAGTAGAAATGATTCAAAGTGAGGGGGAAATGATTGAAAAGATAGGAAGAGAACCTCAGTGACTTGTGGGACAGTAACAAAATGTCTTGAATATGTGTAGCTGAAGTCCCAAAAGGAGAGCAAGGAAAGAGTGGGATACACAAAATATTTGAAGATATAATGGTTGAAATTTCCCCAAATTTGGTAAGTGATATAAATGTACTGATTGAGAATCTCAGTCAACTCTAAGCAGGTTAAGTGTGAGGAAAACACATCCTAGACAAGCTGCCAGAACCTAAAGATAAAAATAAAATCTGGAAAGCCAGGGGAAAAGCAACCCATATGTGATAGAAAACAATTCTAATGATTGGTGACTTACTATCAGAAACTGTGGGGGCCAGAAAACCGTAGATCAGTAGATCCTTCAAGTGGTATGGAAAAACAAAACAAAACCCTCCGACCTTGAATTCTGTATCCAACAAAAGTATCCTTC